GTACTGACAATAAAATTATGGTAAAACAAAAATAAAAATGTTATTAATATAAGAAGGGAGATATAGATGTATAGAATTAAAAAAGTCTCCAATCTAATCCAATTCTATATGAGAAAGTAGTACTTATCAAATATCTGGAACACTTAATTTTATAGTTAGAAGTGATCAAGAAATCACAAAGTAAAATAGAACAAGTTGAGCTGTATTAGAACTATAAACTCTCTATACAATCAACAATAAAATATCCAAAAGACAAGTGAAATTAGATTGAGAAAACACATTTGCATCCAATATGACATAGGTTAATTCCGTCATTATGTAAGAAGCTGAGACAAAACAGTAAATTATCATTTAACCAGGATATAAATGGGCAAAATATACATATACTGTACAACAGGAGATATAATTAATAACCATTAGTATTAGGACATTCAACCTTGCTAATAAGAAATAAAATGCTAAAGAAAACAGTAAGATCTGTTATACTTATTAGGAAAGCATAAAACAATAAAACTTCCAATTCAGGCTGAATTGGTATAAAGTAATCATATGTTGCTGGTGGCAATGTGAAATATTAACATCCTTTTGAAAAGTAATTTGGCAATTCATATCAATGGATATTAAAATATTCATGACATTTGATTCAGAAATACTCAGAAGGAAATATGTACTTTAAAAAATAAGTAAATGATGTCCACTGTGGCATTATAATTGCATTGTAGCAATACTTATAATAATGAAATATTAGAAACTTAGTACAAAATTTAGAAATAGATGAATGGCTATGAAAATTATGAATAGTGGCCTGACCAAATAGGAGGTATTAAACAAGATTTCAAAGCAACATAGAAGATGCTTATAATGTGATAATAAAGAACAGTATAAAACTTTTACTATAATTACAACTATGCAACCTACACAAAGAGACTTAAATAAAAAATGTAAATTGAAAACAGCTTAACTATTCTGTATGCTGGGATTTTAAGGGAATATATTCTTCCTTGTTCTCATAGCAACTACTAGCAGTTATTGAATACTTACTATGTGCCAGATGATAGACTATGGGTGTTATGGATGCGATTGGGTTTAATCCTACCGGGTAAGTTATGGCCAATAAATGGCAGAGCCGATTTTGAATTTAGGCACTCGGGCTTTAGTCCTTTAGATCTTAATCACAATGTTATATCATATAAATAAATTAAGAAAAGTTAAAGAAAAAACTGGGATCTCCTTCAATTTGTGAGACTCATGTTTCAGAAGGAGAGGTACGGGTATCATTTGGTGATGTATATGTAATATCACTTGGTAATCTGAGATTACTGTCCCTTAAAAATTGCTAACTAAACTGTCAATCTAACCTGTGAAGTTAAAGTAAGTTAACTGAATTTATTTACTCAATCTTGTTCTGCTGCCTGGGCTAGTGTAGTGGCATCATCATAGCTCACTGCAACCTCAAACTTCTCGGCTCAAGCAGTCCTCCTGCCTCATCACCTCCCTTCCCTCAAAGCTGAGACTATAGCCACCATGCTTGGCTAATTTTTCTATTTGACTTTAAACAGACTAAATAATGAAGAATACTTTCATACCATCACATAATGCTAGAGCTGAACATAAGAGCTTGGAGATTACCAGGTTTCCTTTGCTTCTGCTGAGAAAGAAACTGAGGTCTATAATACCAAGAGGCTGTCTCAAGGTCATTCAGCCAGTTAATATAACCAAAACCAGTTCTGAATTCCAGGTTTCCTGATGATAGTCCACTGATATTTCTTCCTACATCATTTTCCTCCTCTCTCCCATTAAAAAAAAAAGTATATATCTACTATATATTAATATATGTTTTAAGTGTGTATTTTTTTTTTGAGACAGGGTCTCACTCTGTTGCCCAGGCTACAGTGAGTGCCGTGGCGTCAGCCTAGCTCACAGCAACCTCAAACCCCTGGACTCAGATGATCCTCCTACCTTAGCCTCCCGAGTAGCTGAGACTACAGGCATGCGCCACCATACCCGGCTAATTTTTTTATATATATATATTAGTTGGCCAGTTAATTTCTTTCTATTTATATTAGAGATGGGGTCTTGCTCTTGCTCAGGCTGGTTTCCAATCCTGATCTGGAGCAATCCGCCAGCCTCGGCCTCAGCCTCAGCCTCGGCCTTGGCCTTGGCCTCCCAGAGTGCTAGGATTACAGACGTGAGCCACCGCACTCGGGCCTTAAGTGTGTATTAAATGCAGGTACCACATTTAGCACATTTCAGTTAAACTAAATTAATCTTTACAACAGTCTTATGAGGTAAATATTATTAATAAAACCATTTTAAGACAAGGAGACTGAAGCTCAGGTGGGGTTAGCATGTTGTTCAAGACCACACAGTTATTAAGTGGCATCAGGTCTGATTCCAAAGCCAGCGCTCTTGCCCCCATTGTTATGCTGCAGGAACTGGGGACAAAGTGCTCATGCATACAGGGACCTCTGGTTATGGAGGATCTTTGTGGTCCTTGCTAGTGCCACCAGAGGTTCATGCTGAGAGAACTATTTGATTTCAGTCAGGAGGGGCTGGCAGGTCCGGTGGGTTAGAAAGAATGTAAGTAAATTCTGTCTCCTGGTGTGAAAAAGTTTTCAAGTTTGTGTGGATCCTGGGACTGCTTTTGTGTTTACAGACAGACAAACAGGAGCAAAGGGGAAAAACAGAATGATGCTTATTTTCTCTGACAAGTGTGCTCTCTAACTTGCTATCGTTTAATGGCTCATGAAATATAGTTTCCTAACACTTGATAAATACATGTGTTTCCATGACTGTTTCTTTTCCTCACATTTTTGGTTCCTTTCCTTTCCTTCAAACCTTAAATTCTTTAGGCTTTGCTGCTGCAGGCTGTACTCCTCTCTCCTCAGTTATTATAGGTAGCCTCCTAAGTGGTCTCCTTACTTCAGTGTCTCTCCATTGTCAACCATTGCACACAACAAGCATGGAGAATCTCTCAAAGCAAGACTGTTGCTACCTTATAAAATTTATCCCTTCTTCCTTGAAAAGAGGCCCCAGACTATCTTTTCAGCTTTTTTTTCTCCCCAGTCCTTCACACCCACTGTAACTAATCTGGGATTTCCCTCCTCTGGGCTTTGGCTCACACTGATTCCTATATCTGGAATCCTTTTCCTTTTCCATCTTTGGCTGCCTACATTTGGTCCATTCTTTAAGGCCCAATGTGAATGTAATCTCCCTTGTCTTTTCTGATTCTCCAACCAGATATAATCCCTTCCTTGTCTAACACTGAGTTTTACACTGGGTGTAACTCCTTAAAGATTTGACATTCTGATCTGTACTGCAGATATTTGTATTTCTGAACTGTCAGTTCCATTAAGATCAACTACGTGTTGCTGACCTTTGTATTAAAGGTAGCACCAGGAACAGACATTCATAGTTGTGGTCACTGATTAAAAAACAAAAAATCTGATTTGAGTAATGCAAACTAAATCACAGTGTGTTACAATTGTCTACCAGTTGAAGAACTAGTCAAAGGAACTCAGCAAGTTAAAAAAAAACAAAACAAAAGTACAGCTTCTTAATGGGGCACTTGATTTTCTAGATGCAGGAACAGGTGTTGATAGACATCTACTAGGTCAAGAAAGGTATGCCTGGATTATGTAAATGACAGACTCGGAGGGAGGCCTGGAAAGGGCTAAAAAACAATCTGAGGGCACTTGTTATGGTATACTTTTATTTCTTGATTTTCTGTTTTGTACAGAGGAAAAGAAGAAGCTCTGGGGCTTCAGAACTAGAAATGGTTTGTTATTTAATCAAACAACAAATTTTGAATGCTGTATTGCAAATCAGATTAAATAGGGCTACTGAGCGATCCACTTCCAAACAAAATAAAACCCAAATTCAGAAAACTTAGCTGCTTCTCCCCTAGTTAAAATGGAAATAAAAAATCTGGTAATGTTAATTTTTCCCAGATTCTAAAGCTAATCAGAGAAGCCTGCCGCCTCGCATATACATTCATAAAGGTACTGATATAATATTACTTCTAGAGATCATGAATCAATAATGATGAATCCACGGTCCCCTAGCTATATCTATATCATCGTTGTTTACTTGGTGACTTTTTTCTTTTTTAAGGGGAGAGGAGTAAGATGGGGAGGATAGGAAGAAATCAGCTTAAATTTTATTCAAATTACCTTTACAGAGTTAACACAACTCAGAATTTTTTTTTTTTTTTTTACAAACCTGTAGCACTTGTCGGTAAAAGAACAACGAAAAGAACTGATACTTTTGAACAAAGGCCAACAAGCACCTGCAGCCTCTCAATCACTTAACAAATATTTCCGCCAAGACAAGGCCAAATTCAGGAATCTGGGCGGAGGAGATGGATGTCACCTTTCAGTAACAGCCTCCCATCTCGGTAAACTGCAAATCTTGGGACAACTGGGACCTCTCCCAGGGATCCTGATCTGGGGGGGGGAGAGGTCTCCGGTTTTTAGGCAAATCTCTCCTCCTACCACACGTGACCAAATGGGAATCAGCCGCCAGGAGAGACACCGCAACCCGTCAGCCGCGGGATACAAAGGCTCGGCGCTGCCGCCGCATCCCCGAGAGGATCGCGGAGCCTCCCGCGCTCAGCGTCAGCCGAGCCTGCGCAGGGCGCCGCCGGGAGGCGCGCCGCTCCCGGGCCCGCAGGGCGGTGCCGCGCAGCGCGGGGAGCAGGAGCGGGGAGCGCGCGCCGCCTGCCCTGCGCGCCTGCCCACCCAGCGCCGCCGGAGCAGGGGCGCCGAGCCGCACGCAGCCGAGCCGGGCCGCGCCGCGCCGCAGCCGCCGCCTCAACCCGAGCCTCGCCCGCCGCAGGGAGCCCCGCAGCGACGTGGACCCGGGTGAGGAGGCAGAGGGCCCGGAGCCGGGCCACCCCACCCCAGCCCAGGCTCAGGCCTTCCCTTTCCTTCTGGCCCCTCCGCTGCCCACACCTCTCCCCGAGCCTCGCGCAGGCTGCGGGCGCCGGCAGCGGCACTTACACTACGGCTCTGGAGATCATCCAGGACACCATCTTCCCGGGGGCTTGGGCCCCACCTCCGGAGCGGGTGGGCGCTGAGCGCCGCGGACCAGGCCGCCAACGGCAGGCCGCGCGCTCGCCGGCTCCTCGTGCTCCCCGGGGCCGCGCTGGCGCCCTCGGGAGCCGGGCCCGGTGTCTGCGCGCGGCGGCCCGGAGTCCGCGCGGCGGTCGGTCGCCCGTCCCCGCCCCGCCGGCCGAGCCGCAGCCGAGCCGGCGGCCCCCCTGCGTCCGCTGATAGGCGGGGCGCGGCGGCGCGTTGGCCCGGGCCGGGGCCGGGCGGCCGGGCTCTGGGGGCTGGCCGGGCGGGACCCCGGCCGGTGCTGGACGGCCTCGGGGCCGCAGCCCTAACCCCTACGCGCTCGCTTCCCTTACCCTCCTCCTCTAGGTCTTTGGGACGCCCACCTGGTGGTGAGAGGTGGGCAGGAGGCTGTGGAAGGGAATTGGGGGTTGGGATTGTCAATGCGTGTGTGAAAAATCAGATATTAGCAGGAACTCTGTGCAATGGAATCCTCTGGCCTAGGCCCTAGATCCTGGAGAGCCAAGATGTGGAGGCGTGCTTGGGCACATCCGGTACCTCGGTTTACGGAGGCCCAGCACCGAGGGCATACCACAGTCCTGCATTTTAAAGGAAACGGCAGGAGGTCCTTGCAGAGGCCTGAAGTGTGTACCAAGAATCGCATGATGCATGGTGCAGTGCAGGGAGGGGCGGAGGAGGAGAGCACTGGATGTCACGCTTGCAGTCGTGGGTGTAGTGATGCCACTGTTCTGGGCCTCTCAGGACACCTTTTCATCAGAGCATCTGCAAAGCCTGTTTTACAGACACAAATCTCTGGTATTTCCCTGAGCCTGCCAGATATTCAAAGTAGAACCTGGGCCTAGGATTCCTGACGGTCCTCCAATTTACCACCGTCTGTTTTCTGGGAAGTTGGATTACTGTGGACACCTTACAGTTCTCGCAGTTATCATTTCAAGAGTAGAATTTAAAATCTCCAATTTTTTGGTGCCAGTACCAAATTGGGAAAATGATTTTAAAGTTTAGTCTTGGTCTTTCTTTTTCCAGTGACGACAGTAGTAAAAGATAATTCTAGCGTTCGGATGGTGCAAAGAATGAAAGATGAAATGTGGGCTTGGAGCCTTTAATTAAGTCCTAGAAAACATGGTGGCTTATTTTGTGACCATACTGTAATTTATTCTTTTTGTTTCTCAGTAAAAAGAGGTTAATAGTACTGTAGTCTGCCTTTTTCTTTTCAAGGGTGCTGTGAGGCACCAGTAAATAACATGTTTTAGGAGGTGCTCCAATTTGCTTGGAAACAAATCAGGAGACGTATATAGATTATTCTGTGTTCTTTTCAGTTGTCACAGTCAATAAATTTGGTATATTTCGATTATTTAAAAAGCATACTGAGAAGCTGCTTTCTGCTCTTGGGTTAGGTTCTATTTGCTTATTTGTTATGTTGAGAATATGTATTTTTATTTCAGGAATCTCAGTGATAATTTACATTCTTTCTGAATCTTTTATTTTTGGTTATTCAACATTATTGGGCATAAGGTGTGCCACATAAGCACCAGTTTTCTGGAGAACTCTCTTGCTTAATAAAACTCAAATGCATTTGAATATTATTCAAATCCCTTCATGAACAGGTCCTGAGACATCTTTACAGCTTCAGTTTTTACTGCCTTACTCCACAAACACCAGTGTACTCTTTCCCTACCTCTCTTCTCTGAACCAACCTATATTTTTATGCTCAGTGCTTTTGCCTGGATTTCATTTTTCCTTTAATGCTTTTCTCTCCATTCTCTACCTATTAGAATCCTTGTTTTTCAGTGTCCTATGCCACGAAGATGTCCTTGCTTTTCCTCAATAACAATTATTCAGTTTTTTGTGGGCCCCCATAATTTATTACTTTAATTTCTATTTATTAATAGTACCTATTGTTCTGCTTTTACCCATATCTAATCTGTATGGTAAAATATTTGAGGACATGTATAGTGTATTAGATGTCTTTGTGTTTTCCTACTACCTAGCATAGGGTAGAGAAAATCCCCAATAAAATTTGAATAATGCTTGTTAAATACAGTCACTTTCTTAAGTATCAAACTTGTAAAAATTTCAGCTGGGTGCAGAGGAAATCTCTTAAAAATTTCTTTCTTGCCTTCATTCTTTAGAGGTCATCATTGTGAATATTAATGATTTCACTGAATCGTAATACATTTATACCTTTAGAGGTTGCTGAGATAGGCTGGCTGTTCTCTGAAAGGTCCCAATACTGTTGTGTGTTAAGTTTCATTCTGTGTGCATAGTATATCTTCTGACTCTTCCACATTAATGTTACTTTTTGCTGCTTTTGTTCAGTTTGCTGAGAACAGTCCCCTTTTTCACATCCTGATAGGCCCATGGGTTGGAAACCACCTAGTGTGTGCTGCACACATGTTGTTGAGTCATCCTAATGACCTAAAAAGCTAGGTATTATTTATTCTCTTTTGATACCCTGGAAACTCAGGTTTAGAGATGTTAACTCCCTGGGCAGTGATCATGTAGGTCAGTGGTAACAGAATTGGAAATCTAATCCATGCTTCCCTGGCTGCCTTACATTTCATTGTGATAGATAGCAGAAATGGTTCTTAGGCAGTGGGTCCGGATGGGAATTACCCTCCAGTAGGAAATTAGGAAGCTTTTTTTTTTTGGTTGTTGTAATGATTAGAACCAACCACTAGCATTTGATGGTTGGGGGCCAGGGTTGCTACACTTTTTGCAATGTGTGGGATAGGTCTGAACAAAGCACATCTCCATGTCCTGCATGACTGTGGAATATCTTGCCTGACATTTATGTAATATTTATAATTGTCTGAGCTTAAAACCTGCATTTTACATATAAAGTGATGGTTTCAACTGAGATTGAATTTTCCACTGTTTATTTCCACATGCAACTGTTGTGTAAATTGAAGAAAGATGTGTTGTGTTTCCAGCTTGACTAAGAGTTGTTTACAGTTTTGGAAAATTTCATCACAAACAGTTTTGCATTCATAGTTATAATATTCAGCTACTAATTAGTCCTTTAAGTCATCTAGTGTAGTTTTGCCTCAGCATTGAAATAGATATTGTCTTATTATAAATTATTTTCATTTCTCTTTTCCATTTTTATTTTATTGAGGGTATATGGATTTGTTTGAAATTGTAAGAAGATTATTATTAATTTCATTTCAAGGTGGTAAAGCAGAAATTGGAAAATATTTTATGGAAGGGGCACATTGAGTCTGATATGATTGAGAACAATTGGTCTAAAATAAAAGCAACCTCATCTGAGGAGAGTTTCTCTTGAAAAGTGGCCAGATTTTAGTGGTGGGTGTTTTTAATTTCTGGGTATTGGACTGTGACTCACACAGTTGAGACCTAATAGGTGGCCATTAGATAAGTGCTTCACTGTATAAGGTTAAGTCTTCAGGGGCACCGAAAGAAAAGGAAATATAGTACCTTCTGCCTAGAAGCTTTTATAGCGTGGTCTCATTTGGCTATCTCATTTCTATCATTTCTTACAAGAGGATAGAAAATTATTTCTGTAGGTTCAAAACTTGTTTTCAGACGTATATTACTTAATAGTCATCCATTGTGCTGTGGAGTACTTCACTGTGTTCTGCAAATACTTCTTCTGGGTATTGAGTTGAATCATGGTGGGAGGTAGCATATTTAGGGCAAAGGACATTCTCCCCTGAGACCTGTTTCTACCAGTAGTAATGTGATGTTTGGCAAGTCACACTGTATGTTTCCTGTTGCACAGGAATGATTATGATCACATATTAGGGATTTTAAAACCTAAGGGTAATTAGACTCTAGTAAAAACCTTGCTTTTTCTTCTACATTTTTATTTAGTTTTCCTAGGAGATATGTGCCTCTTCTGCATGTTAAAGGAGCTCCTTTATTATCAAATCAGCAGACAGTGGGAAAGTACCTAGAGAGGAGGTAGTGAGAGCAGAATTACAAGGTCCAGAGATAACTATCTTATATAATTATTAATGAGTATGCTGATGAGACTGAATATTAGGTCACTTTACCATTTCTACTGGGAGAGTATTTTCAATGGCTTAAAAATATTTTTATTTGGAGAAAGGCTAAAATTACTAAATGACTATGTCTTTAATAATTGTTTAGAAAATAGTAGGAGTGAGAATATCTTAAAAAGACTGAATTAACAGAAGAAAGCTGTTGTTTTTCCATCTGCTGCTAGGTAAATACCTCTTTTCTCTCAGGCTGTCTGCTCCTGGTATTATGGTTATGACAGAGGTCAAGTTTGGCATCTGACATAGAAATTGAATTATAAAGAAATGGTATTGAAAATATAATGATGAGATTGCAGTACAATATAAAAATTAGAATCTGATTAAGTATTCACTTACAGGTATTGATAGAAAAAGATGGTTACTAGCCGACAATGAGAAAAGCAAAATACATCTGTGATGATTGGATCTAGGAAAGACATGCAATAAGGAATTGACATTATCTGAGGTTCTTATATTATTTGAGGTAGTAGCCTCAACCATCATAATTAAGGATTTAAACAGAAAAAAGAGTTTTCCTCCCTGCAGGGAAGAGGTGGTTTTGTGTTAGATCATGTTAAGTGTCAGAGAAACATCTAGTCAAGACGTATTTGAGGTACTTTCATTACTCATTTAAAATATAATTGATTAAATCATACTTATCAGTTTTAAACTCAAGATAGATTTATGATTTCAGGTATTCAGGTACATATGGTGTTTATAGTATAATTTGCTAAATCTGAAATATTTGCTAATTCCATCATGTCTACTAGCAGAACTTTAAAAATTTTTATTGATGTTTTTGAGCAGTAATTCAAAGCACATGGAATAAAATTCAAAAAGGAAACAGTGAAAAGTTGGGTTTTTTTTCCTTCCCTGCCTTGAGCTACCCAGTTTTCTTCACAATCTCTGTTCCTAGTTGTTTCCCCCCCCCCATAGTAGAGTCAAGAAACAGACCCAATTATTAATAGTGTTTAGTCTAGGATAAAGGTGGCATTTTACAGTTTTTGGAACATGATGGAATTATTCAGTAAATGATGTTGTTACAACCAGCCGGCCATTTAATAAAAACTGAAGAAAAAAATAATTTCTGATGAATAAGAAATGTAAACGTAAAAACTGAAAGTTCCATAAAAATATAGAAGAGGCTGGGGAT